GACTTAGTCCAGCAATGCAAGCCAGGTAACTGAGAGGATAGCCCTTGAGAATGTCTCTCCTTCCCCATTCCTTCAGATGACAAACTGACTCTGCTCCTGGTTTTATTCTGTTTCTTCTCGCCTTTTGATGTGCATATGAAACGTACAGGAGAGCCAATGTATTTGACTTTATGGGGCCATTGTCTCCAAGGCAGATCCCACAAAGGAGCACATACAGTTATATTCCTTGTGTGGTGTGGCTACAGGGAACAACCTGTCTGTATCTGTCAGAATATCAGCCTCTACCTGCATGGGTGCGCAAGCTGCAAAATGCAGTGCAACCTGCTCATCAGCACAGCTGCAATGGGATGTGCTAATCAGGCTGGAAGCCACCACACTGGAGAGTGCCCTGGCATTGATAAGGAAGAGCAGGCAAGCAAAGGGTGATGGAGATGTCCTGGCATAGGAGAAGACCAGGTTCCTCAACTCCAGCATCTGCTGGTGCTGTGGAACATGAAAGAAGTCCACTGCCAACGCTTTGCTCTGTGCTCCTTATTTTAATGAGCGATACAGAGTTCACGACGTTGCCACTACAGGGAAACATGCTTCGCTGGCCACAGAGTGAGGCTGGCCAACAGTAGCTTCTGGCTTTGCTAATGCAAACTGACTTTGCAGCCAGAGCTGCCTGTAGGTCTGTCAATCTGCCAAGTGAAGGTGTCAGGTTAGCACGACTTTGTCCTTCCAAAGTGATACTGACCATGCTGAAATGAGAAAGCCGGAGCAGGGAAAATGCATCTGCAGGTAATTAGTAACAATCACAGGCTGCTTGGAAACTGCTGACTAGAGCATTAATGAGCTGGGCACATGTCATTGGCTTGTAAATGCAGACAGCACTTATGGACCGTGGCAGCAAAGAGAAGGATGGTTTGTTTTAGACTTCATATTTAATGTGGCATTTAAAAGGGATGAAGAGAAATTGAGTGGTTCTCTAATCAAAGGTTTGGCTGGTGGTCCATAACACAATAGAGTTAGTGGATCAGGCAGTACTGAGAATTGTCACTAAATTTTTCCTTAGACACATTCTCTCAGCAAGTAGTGGCATGAATGTCAATTCGTCTTTCATCTTCATGAAATATCCCATCTACCAGCTTGCTAAGAAACAGAAATTTTACATTTTCTACCAATAACTGCGCAGAGGATCTTTTGCATCTCAACACTCAACATTGTTTTCCTGCCCACACTACAGCCAGGCAACAAGAACAACGGAAGACTGTGATAAATTACTTAAAACATCCATTCTCAGCTTTGTTTGCATTAACTTCTTCTACGATCTGTCTTACAGACTGACAAGACAAACTAGACTTAAATCTCTTCACATACGGCACCCCAGAAAGTCTCCAGACTTGCTCATAAAAATTGATTAAGCTTTAATGGCAGATACCAGCTATCTATAGGACATAAGTGTTCCCGGATCAAAATCCTATATGTCATATTTCAAGCTCTTTATCCACAAAAATGTGGCTTTTCAGCCCTATGCCCACCAATAGCCCCACTCAGTGTGGAAGCATCAAGCAATCACACATTCACAGCTCTGCTTCCACACACCAGAAGACCTCCTTCTACAAACAGCATGTCCCACCAACAGACTGTTCTGGATACTACAACTCACATGCCAGCAGCTCCTGGTCTCATGACAGTGAAACTGTTACAAAAGTGTTTATAATCTGGACAGTCGAAAAGTGAGATCAACCTCTCGAGCCATTAGCACCACCAGACACAGACTCTGGGCATTTTGTGGACCTTTAAGCAACCACCCATCGCTTTTACAGCTGAAACCCATTACCTGGCATGACTGTATCAAGTTTTGTCCCAAAGCTTTCAGTTTCCTGCTCTGAGTTTGCTTGATACACCACAGGACAGCCTGTCTGGAGCCAGAAAGAGTGAAAACAAACAGAAAAGGATGTAGCAATTAAAAGCAACCCACCTTCCTGAATCTCAAGAAAAGACTGGAATTCAGGTTAGCCATTCCTCCTTTAACAGGGAGCAGTTCACAGGAGAAATGCCATCATGATCTCCAAGTCTCAAGCTCTTGCTTGGTGAACACGCAACTGGGGTCCAGGAACTGGCGCTGACAAGACTCCTCTCATGAGCCAGTGTCAAGACCACCAAAGAGGGATTATACAAAGCTAACAATCTTCCAAGGGTTGTCTGCCTTCTCTCTCACCTACCGACACACAGCCAGCCCAACCCCAGTTTAGGAATACCCAACTGCTGAATTTTTATCGTAACTTTGGTCAGACCACAGACAACAAAGTTCCCAAAAGGAAGAGTACATGATGTGTTAACAAACATTTATTTGACCTCACACTCATAACTCCTGCTATGTGTCACTGCCCACTTCCTCCTGATTTTCACTGATATCTCCAACAGATTCCCTTTCATCTGCAACAGATGAAAGGCCCATAGCAATATGCAGCTTTTCTTTATAAGGGAAGAAAGATCAATAAATTAATCCCCTGTCCCACCAAGGAAATGGGCTGCAGAAAGAGCTGAGACAGAAAAAATGGGTTAATCCTGGGGTGGAAATGGAGAAGTCTATCCAGACCTGTGGTAAGAAATGCACCACCAAGCCTGCTGCAACTTACATGCTTTGCACATTACAAAGTATGGCTTGCTGCTTAAATCTTCCTGCTCCCAAAAGCTTTCACATCCTGTTGACTCCTAAGGAAGGGATCAGGGCAGAGAGCACAACTTTGATATACAGTACGTGCCCAGCACTACAGGGCCCAGATGCTGCCTGAGGCTTCTGGGCATCACCAGAGGACAAACAGCACAAAAGAGCTAATGTAGGTGTAACGAAAGGAAAAAGGAGGATAAGAGACATTCTCCCTCAAAAATACATCAAAAGGTAAAGGTTTTAGAAGGTTTTAAAAGCATGTCATTTTCATTAAGACAATATACTTGTGTAAATCTAAGTTTTGTGAAATCAGGTGTTAGAAAACTCTACACAATATCAAATTAAAGATACAAATAGCTAGTGATCTGAAAAACGTGTTCTGTTACAGCTCTCACCATGTCACATTTAAGACCAATGGCAGGATTTTTTTCTAGACTTGATGCTCATAAAGCCTGCTCCACATTTTTATGAGAACTAGTAATTTAACATTTGAAACTTCTGCTCAAGTATAGCTAACATCACAGGGAAAACCTACACAAAATCTCTATTGAGCTCTGCAGCATCACTTCTGTGGTAAGTTTTGCTCTAACAAACACCATCAGTCAGCTCACCAAACTCTAAGGAAGTAGTAACATGTGAAGCATGAGAATTACTTAAACCAGCGTAAAAGAACGTGTGCTGCTGAAGTATCAAATCAAAACAAGAGCTCTAGGCTGAGCTTCCTTTGGCCAGGTGCAGAACTTGGATAGGCAGTTCCTCAGAAGAAGACAGATGAGAGACAGCGATGCCCACAGCACCCACTTGTGCAGTCCAAGATGCTGCTGGGCTGTCCTCACCAGCAGAGCACAGACACCTCTGACAGGGCATCAGGCTTGTCACAGGGACACAGACTCGGACAAGCAAGAGACAACCACCCAGAAGATCAACAAAGGGGAACAGTCCACCCATGATGTGCCAAGGCAGCCCATGTCTTTTGTAATAAGCAGGACTTCAGGCTTTTAAGATGAAGAAATTTCTGCAGCAAACAATTACAGAATAATTTGCCTTAGGAGACATTTCTTTCTAACTTTCATACATTCTAGAGGTGGCTTATTACCCCAACCATGATGATTCATGTTGCTTCTTTCATATTAGTTTTAGATTCCCTCTACTCTATGATTCTATATCTATCTATCCATGCTCTGTTTCCCTACCTGTTATAAGCCACACATGTCCAGAAATCCCTTTCTGTCCATCCACCCATCCCTAGACACCTTCCTTAGCCATGAGTCCAACGCCCGAAACACCAACTCAGTACCAGTTATTTCAACAAGTCCCTCCCCTTACACATCAAGGTAAACATGGATTTCCTTAAGGAATCCTCTAACTGCTTTAGAATATTCCTAAACTTTTGGCAAGAAGTGCCAAAGACTGATGCCATATTGGGTTAAAACAATTTTGTGACAACTAGTTTTCAAAACTGCTATCCCACTAGATGAGATTGTAGCACTTTCAAGATACAATAATACTATACTAAAAACAGCGTCACCTTCCCTTCAGCAACAAAATAAAGAAGTAAATCCATTCTTTGTCAAAACAGAGAAAATCCAATGATGAAATCTGCATAGATTAGGCACAAGGACAGAAGTAATATACAGAGGTAACATGTACATGAAACATAGAGCCTTAAATTTCAAAATCCCTTTTTTCTGAATTCCCACAATTCATTCGGGATACAATTTCATCATTTTCTTACCATTTGGGCAGTTTCCTTCCAAACAATATGGCCAGTCCCAAATAACTAGGTGACCAAAGCATTTATCAAATTCTATCTGTTCCTTAACTTTCACCCTATAACTGCTAAATGAATGCAGATGATGCTGCATTCCCTGAACAAACAATTTTGCTTTTCATTTAAATACTCAGCCTTAGTGCACAACTGCAATTCCAAACATGGTATAAAACACAAGCATTTGCAGGAATCAAAAGCATTTAAAATGCAGGCTAGTTTGAACTGCCATAAAAACTCTATCCAGTCAAACATACCAGGCACCTTTATGAAAAATGAGCAACAAAGCCCGACAGCGGAGGCAAGCATTCTGCTTTTCAGCAGGCAGGTTTGGGGCGGAGGTGCACACCTCTTCCTAGACAAGATGGATGGATGCTTCATCTGTTGGCTCCCAGTGAAAAGTACTGATTCATACAAACCATGCACCTGACTTTCAACAGAGCTGCTATGAAATCACACTTTAAAAGAGATTTCTGAGCAAATGTCTCCACATCTGACACAACTACTCCATGAAGGGCACCAGGGTGCAACGTGCACACACTCCACATCACTGACTGGTGTTGGGAAATTGCTTACCTGTGACGATAGGGTATGACTGAGGCCCGGGAACATTTGCTCCCAGATCTGCAGAAGTAGGGCTGGTTATATTGGCTTTCATGTCATCTAATCCACCAGCTAATGATGCCATGGCTGAATATTCAGTTGCCTGGAAAAAGAAAAAAAAGGCATTTTAGTGATAATAAATGTACCATTCAGGAACTCTTGCCTGTATGACAGAAAGTAGATGCAATGCAACTCAAAAATCCTTTGTTCAGTCAGTTTTAAAGGCAATACCCATTTACACTGGGATGTTAAGCCTTCAAAATACTAAGTGGGTCTGTGCTTATCACGGATGTTCTTGGAGAACAGCAAAACGGGCTTTCTTTATCAAACCAAAGCCAAACTGATCAATATGTAGCAAGGCTTTCCTTAAAGAAGAAATTTTGTAGAGTAACTGGGGGCTGTAACTGCAGAGTGCAAGTTACTTGCTTGTTAGAGGAAAATGCTCATTCCAGTGCCAGTTAACCCATATTTCAGTGGCGTCACCTGAAGAGACACACGCTGATGAACAGGTGGGAACAGAGCATCCCATTTCCCCTCTTTTCTTGAGAATGCTGTGTCCCATCATCTCACAAGAAATAAAATGCATGTAAATAAAAGTGTCTGCTTCGGGGAAGGATTTTTAGCCAACTGTTTCTAAATCCAAATTATTTGAAAATAAATCACGTGACTGTTGTAAGGATACTTTCTCATCTCATGGGAACTTCTTAATCTCATTAAAGCTATAGGAAAAGTTATAGGAAATAAGTGCAGATCCTCAGAAGTCAGATTGTTTCGTCCCATAAACGAGTAGAAGTCCATGTAGCCATGGCAATCTATGGCAGGTGAGGCCAATCCACACTTCCATAAGGACTTACGTGTACTCCGCAGACAGATTACCTCCCTTTGCCTTTTTTAATTATTTCTTATTGTCGAGATCATTCACATGGAAGTTGGAAGTTTCTTTTCAAAGTTCTCCCTTCCTTGCTGTTATTTGCACTCAAAGTTTTAACCTTTATTTGTGAGATCGTAATCATGCCCATAACAACCGGAGGATGACAACTTCAAGTGAAGAACAGCAATAGAAACAGAAAAACTGAATAACAACACTCCAAGGCTGATCCCTGCTGTATTTCTGCAGACTAAGTCAATGCAGAAGCTGTGCAGAACTTAAGCAACATAGGAGAACCCAGAACTGTGTGATTTTTTTTTTGAGTGACCAAATAAAAAAGTTAAGCGTTTTCCTTTTGTTTTTAAGAAAACAGAAGCTGATCTTAGTGAACACATCTTTCTCCCACTTGAGAGTTTCTCAGACACGTCCAAGAAGCCAGCACACACTCTGGTATTTGCCACAAGCTCACTACATTGGATCAGATATATTTGTTTGTGACTCTGGTGCTCAGTTCTCCCTCAAACAGAAGTTAATTTACAAGGATAACCCCACATTAGCAGGTCTGTGTTACTGCACATTTCTCCTGTGCACGCAATTTGTGTGAGGCATGAGTATGCTCTGTCACCCTGAAGGATCCTCCACGCAAACCCCTTGCAGGTAAGCGTGTCACATACATTTTGTCATTGGCTGTGGCTGGCTACCCTGTCCCTTCACCTGGTCCATGGATCAATAAGTCAGGGCCTTCTGGGCTGAAGGCTGCCCAGTGATTCGGAGAAAATTCCAGGAACAAACTTGCCAACAAAGTTTTCAACTTGACAAGCAGGTATTCTTTATTGCGGTGCCAGGAGACACAGGGGATAGCCCCTCCCAGTTCTAGGCTGTCTCCTATGGTCACCCCTAACCTTCTTGTTAAACTTCTCCTGCTTCTCAGCCCTTTCAGCTTATTCCTCCTCCAACACTCTCCATGCCCTCACATTTCCCTTACCTTCATGCACCCAGCCCCTTTTTCTCTACCACCACTACCTTGAAGACGTGTGCAACCACAGCTCTGCTTCAGCCCCACTTCTGCACTCTGGGGAGGACAGCCCCTTGAGCATCCCTCCTCTGCAGAGGATGTCAGCAATGGTCCCAGCCTTCCTCCTTCCTGCAGGTGCAACCAAAACTCCTTCTCATTCCAGGATCTACCAATGTAGATTGTTCTTCAGCCTTCCCATGCCACTCCATGATATCTAGATTTGCAGCCCCACTTTCCCTTCCACTGGGTATGTGCACATGTGATGGCACCATGGGGTTTTTTCACTCCCTAATCTGAACTAAAAGCCCTGAATAGATGTCTTATTTCACCTGCACTGCCCTAAGAAAGCCATAACCACACCGTATCCAGACTATCTTCCCACGGCACACCAATGCATCACTCCCCACAGGCAGGGTGTGAATGTGACTTCCAGGTTACAAACGGGGAGCAGACCGCTTGTAGTCTGGGAGGAAACATCCAGCTGTGCCACAGGCTAGGTCACACACAGCGCCAGAGAAGGGGGTGCACATCCAAATGCCATTGACAAAACAGAATTTTGGGGCTACCGCTCCTCACACAAACCCAACCAGGACCAGACTGAGGCCCTCCCTGCAAACCACAGACACTGGAGTCCAGAGCAGACGCTGAAACAACACAGTTTTCTTCCCTTCCGGGGTCTGATGAACTGACTTAGGAGGAAGTGGGAACAGGCCTCACCTCTTAAGTTAATTATCAGGAAGCATAATGTCAACAAACCAGGAGCGTGGCCCTTCAAGTGTGGAGGCATTGACCTGTTTCACTCAGAAGCATGCAACTATCAGGGTGCAGCATACCCCACTGGGCGCTAGGGCAGTGGTAACTCATGCTCATCCATGTAACCCCACCACAGAGATGGAGGCATGTGCAATAGCAGAGTCCTCCTGCAGGTAGCGCTGCCCATCTCATCAGCCTGCAGCAGCACAGCCCCAAACCATGCAACCACTTCTGTGGGCTGGAGTGCCTGGAAGCGTTACACTGCCCAGCATGGCTTGGATGGAGAGCTTACAGCTGGGCAGTATTGCTGCAGATCTCCAGAAGATGGAGGCGGGAGAAATGGAGTCTTGGGGTCCCTCCCACTTCTGGTCCCAGTAGCCTGCTGCAGACTGGAAGTGCACCTCCAGTAACTTCTTTTTGAGCCGCCTCCCTCTTCACATGGCAAAATGGTGCCAGCGTTCCTTCTCAGACCCACCAGCAGCCACACTGAGCATTCATCTGCCACCATGGACCTACCACCATCACTGCTCCCAGCTGACCTCCCAACTCCTCCAACAGTCCTGGTGGAGGAGCGAGCCCCTGTATCACACCCACCTCTGCAGTCACAGCCATCTGCAGCCCTCCTTGTCCCCCGTGTAGGGGCTGGGAGGGCCACAGCACCCCCTTAAGAAGTAGCAAGCCTCACTGGTGCTCGGGGTTCACAGCACCAGCTGTTCACCCATTCACACAGGGCACAGCAGTGTTCCTTCTTCTCACTCCCTTCAGGCTGAGTTTGTCCTTCCAGACACCCTGTCCAGACAGTAGGTGAAATCCCAGGCACAGGCAGCGCTCATGGAGCAGCCCCTCACCTCACAACCCCAGTTAAGACCATCCTGCCAACCCTCCCCAGGAGACTCTCCAGCCACTCAGACAGGCAGCAGAAGGGGTCTTAGATTTAGGTCTTTCACTGGTGAGCTGGAAGTGTCACTGGCAAAGAGCAGCCCAGAATGGCTAGGCATGGCCAGGGATCACTCCCTACACAGCAGGAAGCCTGACCTGCTGCTGCATGATAGGTGAAAAAGCAAGAGGCGGGTGTTCAGTACCCTAGAAATTACCTGAAAAATGACTGCCTGCGGTTGTACCACGCACTGTCTCATCAGCATGGAGCACCACTGCCATAGCATAGAGGAGAGAAAACACAGACACATGAAACGAATATATAAAGGACTGACTGAGAAGGACAAACCAAAAGAAGGCGCACGGCAAGGTCTCATGTGCTCTCCCTACCCCATCCTGCTCAGCCCAGGCAGATGGGACCTGGGCGCCTGGCAGGCAGCTGGGACTAGGCCATGGCACCCAGTGGGGAGCAAGGGGGTGGCGAGGACAACAGTGGTCCCTGCATGCCCATGGGCAGCAGCACACCTACCCTTACAGGGTCCTTCCCTGCCAGCCTTTGCTGCAGAGTGCAAACAGGAAGGTTTCTGTGCTGGGTGAAGTTTCACATGCACCTTCACTGCAAGAGCCTTATGTCTAACTATTACTCCCTAGGGTGGGGAAGGTGATGGGCAGGTGGAGAGAAAAGGGGTGCAGCAGTGTTTTGGTACCATTTTCAGACAACTAACACAGTGTGTGAGGAGGAAGGGTCTGTTGTCTCCTGATACACTACAGTGAAGTGGCAGACAGCCCATCACAGACTGTGCTTTTCCTAGCAAAGATGCCTGAGCATAACATACTGAAAGGTCAACCTACCCTGCACGTACTGCAATTTCATCTTTGAGATTTTCCTTGAATTTTATCCCAAAGGGCCAGGCAAAGATGGACACACAGTGGGTGCTTCCTGAAACAGCCTGGTTCTGGGGTGCCAGCACAGGAAACTCAGGGAGGTCCCATGGGATGGGATGAGCCCTGTGACACTGCTGCAACCCAGGCAGCATGAGGCAAATGCATCCCCCCTCCTGCCCCATCCTTTTCTGGGGCACAGACCCTGCACCCCTCTCAAGAGACTGCACCAAGCAGAAAAGAGTTTTCTGCTGTGCAGGGCAAGCAGCCATTGAAAGGAGCCAGCTGGCATCCACTGGGACCCTCACATGTTGCTTCTTGCAGCTGCTCAGTTTTCCAAATCACACCTGCAGAACTCTGGTCAGACTTGATGAGGCACCTCTTGTTCCTCCCTGCTGCTGGCAGGGCTGCCCTTGGGCTCATGGCACTGCCTGGGATGCAGCAGCAGCAGCTCAACAAGGGCTCAGACTACCAGAGCAATGTGTCAGCCTGGGGCTTCGGGACTTCAGTCTTCCCCTGCTCTGATCACATGTGCTGTCTTCCCGCCCAACAGACTGCTTTCTTCCCAAAAACAGTGCTCCTCCTCTTTTAAACCAGGCATTAATCCAAGGTCTCCAAAAGACACAGTACTGTCCCCCAGGTCGACAACTAAAGCCCCTGCTCACAACTCATAGCAGCACCAAGACAGACCCCATAGCTAACACCTCCAAGTCATCATGTTGTACTACTTTAAAATTAATAAATATAAACAAATATAAATAATAAAATTAATAAATAAATAAAGTCCACCAGGCAGGCTGTCCATAGAGCCCCCTGCCTCAGCCTGACAAAGAGAAGAAATTTGTAACATTAGATATGGTTCGGAGAGCTTAATCCAAAAGAACTCTATAATTAATCTCCCCAGGCTGTCAGAAACTCAGAGCCACTCGCAGCTTGCATGGGCACGGGTACTGCTCTGCCTGAAATTTTACGGGAGTTGAAAATCAATCCTAACGCCCTCCTCCTCAGCTGCCTCACATCCAGACGGGAAAGGCATTCAAAAACCTATATATCAAAACCTCACCACTGCTGCCTGCCAGCCACCCCTCCGTCTTGTAATTTACATGACATTCACTATGCTGCCCTCCACAGCCATCAAAACCAATTCTGCTTTGAAGTAAAAGCTAATTGGGCCAAACCCCAGTTTCTCTTTGTTTTTGGCACTGTTGGGCTCTTTGCTGTCTCACAGGGCATGGAAGTTTGATTTCAATAGTACAACCTTTTTCCCTCAGTTTATGTGGAATATTTCTGAATCTCCCTTTCAAAAAAAACATACTTTTTTAAAAAATTAACATCTGTGTTTCGTTTTAGCAGAAATCCGATTAGGATTGCGCATATCCCCAGAGATTCCCCCCGAAGATAGAGGGAATTAGCTACATAGTGCACCCTGCCATGAACACATTTACCCTCATACTTCAGAATAACTGACCTGGTTTTGACCCAATATTCAGACTATCTGCATGTGGGAAATGACATGCTACATTTTATATTTCCACAGTGCAATCCATAAGCAAACACAGTCATCCTGAGATTTTCTGAAGGGACCCCCAAATCCAATCTAAATGCCTAGAATTTACCTGTTGTTTTTCTTCTATACATATAAATAGCCGCATTTCCATTTGCTCTTTGTTTCTCATTTTCATTTTGTTCTAATATCTGCATGTAAATGTCTGAAAATAGCATCTGTAATTGAAGATTATGAAGTATAGCCAGCTCCTGACAGGCTGCTAAGGAAGATGGATTATCCTCATTTTTCTGTAAATTTTGTCAATTTTGGAATTCATAAGCTATCAACACTGATCAGAATGTGACCGCACAGCTGTGTCAAGGCAGCAAGCATGGTGGCTGTGCGACACCCGAGGAGGATGGCTCTCCCCAGCCACTCAGCCAGAGGCACGCACTATGGGAATCCTCCCTGGCTGCTCCCGGCATCTACAGCTACATCTGACTCTCCTTTTGCCCCACTCCCCCCACCAAAAAAAAAAAAAAAAAAAAAAGAATTGAAAGTACAGAAATTCTCTGGTGTGTCAATTCACATCACAAAGCATAATTTATTGTATGGTTCTACCATTTTATTTATCCCTAAGTAGTAAACACGATTTCCATTCAGGGGGGTTGTTATATTCCACTCCTAACAGACAATCACAGCACACTTGAGGCAATTGTTTAGCCTCTTCCTCTCAATTTTCCCATTACTGGGAGTAAGTACTGTTGGGACTCTTTAATAGCCCGACTGCAGCCCATATCAATAACAGATGAGGTTTAATCGTCCAACACAAAAATTATTTAGGCTCAGTAAGGACATTCAATGTCATTTGCATAATGGCATTTCTATCCTGAGCACCTAACCCATCGTGCATAAACAAGGCCCTGGGACCATAAATAATAATAAATCATGACATCCACACTCCTCTTGCTGTAATAGGAGCCTCTCTTCGCAGAAATTATTTCAGTAGGAAATGGGCACTGTAATTTTAAAGACATGTGGCATTGCACAGGCCAGTAAATCACCCGTGTGCACACACACACACACACACGCTCCAGCAAGGCTGCCCATGGTAAACAACAAAACCCCACCAAATCGCAGCACAGAAAGCAGCCTGCACTTGCTGCTGAAATCATCCTTTTTATTATTATCATTATTATTATTATTATTCTTGTATCTTAGAGCTAGCAGACTAAATGAAAGCAAAGTCTGAAGAGTGTGCGTGATGTCTGGGCATGCGTATGCAGGGACAATGGACCCATAAGTCTGCCAAAATCCACCTGGCTGTCCCTCCCACCCACAGCCCTTGAACCTCTTGAAGGTCCTTGAACCTTGAAGGTCTGGTGGGAAACCAGCACACACCTGCAGACATGTTCTCAGCCATGCCTCGCACAGGCCATATCCCCGTCACCCATGTGGGGCAGAGGAAGCCAGCGTACTTATCTTCCTCTGGTTTGCAAGTACTCTCCATAGAGTCATGCTAAGGAGGGCCTAAAGGAGGTGATGTGGCTTTCTGAATTTGAGCCTCACCATGCCACTAGCAAGCACCAGGATGAACAGAGACAGTGAAACAGTGGTAAGAGCTGACCTCTGCTTTTGCCAGGATTTGCATACTTCATTGTCACACATTTATCCTCAACAGCTCCTTCCTCTGACAGTATAAACATGACTCAGTTTCCTTCAGGAGATGAGATGAAAGGATGGATCACCCCAGCTCCCACTTGCCCTCACCAGCACTGCCCACCCCTTCAGGGACTCTTCCACACCATGCCAGAACCTCCCAGATAGGTTTACTGAGGAATGCAGAAATAGGATGACAAGTTTTGCAGGAGCTTCCTCCTTGTGACAGTGTTGCATGCCCATCCCGGCTGCTGCACCTCAGTCATCTCCTCCCCAGCTTGGATTCTTTAACCATCGTATATTGTGCAGCCAAGATGTGCCACAGAGGGCTTTGGGGGATGCAGAGATGTGGAAACCCTCCTTTTCTTTAGCACACGCTGCAGGCATGCTTCATATGGAGGGAAACCCTGGGCAGGGGACAATCTGGGGAATGTGTGGTGCTTTCTTTGATGTGACATTTCCTAAGGATTAATGGACACTGAACCCGGTTCATCTCCTAAGGTAAATCTTGAGGTGGTTTTGCCCTTCACTAACTAGCTGAGACCTGCTGACATCCAAATGCAACAGCAGCAGTTGCAGAATGTGAAGGATTTGAGACAAGGCACTGGAGCAAGGCAGGACAGCATCACATACCTCAGAAACACCCTGTCCACCCTGCTTGCCTGCAGTGCAGGGAGCAGGCTCCTCAGCCTCAAGACCCATCCAGAAACATCTCAAACTGTCTGCACACAGATATAGAAAAAGAAGCAGAAGAGAGGCAGGCTGATCAATGAGTGTGGTACCTATAGGGTACCTGTGGCGTGCTGGTTCCTGGTAAAGAGACTTTCTCTGCTGACACCCACAGCCTGACACTGCTGGAGGCTCTGCGCTTCCCCACTGTTGTGAAAGGCGCCAGCCAAGGACCTTCTATGAGGAAAAATCATCAATGACAGGTTTCCTTGAAACTTTTCAGTTTTTATCAAAACATTCTTTGTTGGAAAGACAGTTTCAGCCAGACACACTGCAGTTGTAATAATCATCATTTTGCTGCTAAAAAGTCAGCAGTGCTGGGGACACCCGGGCACTGCACACACAGTGAAACATCACAACAAGAAAACAGCATCAGACAAGAAGGTTGGAACTCGCTGATGGTATAACCCAAGCATAGAATCACAGGATTAGCTAGGTTGGAAAAGACCTTTAAGATCATCAAGTCCAACCGTTCCCCAGCACTGCCAAGGTCACCCCTAAACCATGTCACTAAAGGCG